CGTTGCTACCTTCTCTCTCTGAAATTTTAATTGATAATTGCAAAGTAAGATAATAAAAGGATAAGGTTAGCCTCTTCCAGGGTTATTTTAATTGAAAGTGATTTGCATTCCCAAGTGGGTTAAGTTATGAGGGTATAATGCTTAAACATCATATACCATTGAGTCAGAACCAACCCATAGCTGACCTTCCAATGGGTTTTCAGAGGCAGTTAATTGCATGAGAAGAGAGGGATTGACACAGGTGGTCAAGCGGTCCTGTCCTGTTAGTCCTCAGTCTCTTTTCCACAGGAAACAGTGCCCAGATAGGGCTATAGGAGGACAGTAGGAGGATCTTTGCCTTTATCTGTGGTAGGTGAAGGATGGTCCTCAAATACGCTCTGATTTTCTGAGTACACAAGCAAAATCAGGAATCAAGCTTATTCAAGACCTTGCACAATGACCAGTATTCTTAGCACCTGAGCACGCAGGACTTCTTGGGTTTGTTCCTCAAGGTTCTCTTTCTTCTACAACCTCTGACTCCACACAGTATTATTCTTCTGACATCTACCAAGGGTGCACCACCCAAGATGTTATACACTTAGAGGTCTTCTCTCCCTTTTAAACAAGGAAGACAGAGTTTCTATTTAGAATCTCCTTATCAAATTTTGAAAGCTGAAAACTCAGCCCCAGACTTTCCATACAATTTCAACCTGATCAAAGGAGAGACTTCAACATTTTCTCCATTTTTTTAAGCATCCTAAGAAATCAATTTTATATAGAAAAGAAAAATAGACTTAATCTTCTGGAATACCAGAGCTTCTCAAAAACAGGAGACGAGGAACCCGTGAAAAGGATTGTTAAGGAAGTAAATCAGATAAAATGCTGATAGGACACATGATTAAGAGAATTATGCCAGAAAGATTTAACTCCCAGAGAATGTAAAAGAACACACACACACACACACACACACACACACACACACACACACCTATCTTTATATTATTGGTGTTAAATGTGATAAAGTCATCTACAACTCATTGTAGTTACTACAACACAATTGGGTCACTACACCATCATTGCAGCCCATTGTTGCAGTCACTGTGTCAATCCAACTTGTTGAGAGACCCGTCTACTTTTCCCGGCATGTACTCTTTTATGTCTACTCACTGGAATAGTCATTTCGTCTTCAGACAAACCTATCGAGATCCCAGATTTCATTCTGCTCATTGTCATGATCTCCCCAAAGGAACATAATCTGACTCATTTTTTAATACCATTTTAACTCATTTTGCCATTGTCCAGATGGAATTCAGGAAGAAATTAATCTCACTGTGAAACAGACTCAATGAAGGTTCTCAAGCATTAACACAGGATAAGAACAAACAAGGGAGCTCTAGTGGTCTAGTTGCAAGAAACTAAGCTATAATTGCAAAAGGCATGTAGTTCGAATCCACCAGCTGCTCGGCGGAAGAAGGATGGGCAATCTCCTCCCATGAGATGGCCTGCCTCTGAAAACTCACCAGAGGGTCAGCTATGGGTTGGTTTCTAACTCAATGGTACGTACACAGCACCAAACAAGAACCAAAAGTACCTAACAGAACCAAGTTGTAATCTTGTCTGTTCTTCATGTGGTCTCAGCAGCAGTACACATAATAACAACATCACAATGACAACCACAGAAACCATTGATGTCAAGTCAGTTTCTCCTCTTAGCGTCACCAAAGAATGGGATAAATCTGTCCCATAGAATTTGCAAGGCTGTGATCTTTCCAGAAGCAGACTGTCACAGCTCCTTCCTGTGGAGGAGCTGGTGGGCTCAAACTACTGACCTTTCAGTCAGCAGCCAAGTACTTTAAATACTGAATGACCAGGACTCTTAAAGAAATAATAACAATTCTAGCACATAGGGGAATGAAAACTGGCTTGATCTGCAATGCCAGGGGATTCTATGAGATTTACGATACGGAATTGCAAAAGCAAAGTTTATTGAATCAAAAAGAATTTGTCTCTGAGAAAGGTTGCAGCTAACCTTTTTCTAAACATCTGTGAATATAGGTTAGATTCTTATCTGTGTCATGAGATTTCAGAGTAATGTTGTTTAACCTGAAGATAAAGAATAAGGAATCCCTGAAGGCCATCCTGTTCACTGTCATAAGGATCACCTAAGGAGGTTGCTAAAAATAAATATCCCTGGTCTCTATCCTAGGAGATTCTGATTCACTACGTCGTGGGTGAACCCAGGAACAAGTGCTTTTATATCTCTCGGCATTCTGTCACACAGCTAGGCTTGAGAATCACTGAGTTAGAAAGATGATCTCAAGTAGTCCCTTTGGGACCTTGGCTCTGCTTCAATGATTCCATTAATAGACATCCACAGCCTAGAACAGGACTCTTGCAAAACACACACATAGAGTGCTTGTCTACAGCATATCACTGTGCCACAGTGTAGAAGCTCTTTTTTCTCCACGCTGGTAGACCCCAGAAGACCTTCGGCCTGACAGAACTACACCTAGAGGTTTAACTGTGAGAATATTCAGTAAGGACAAAGAAGTAACAGACACAGAGATTTCTGAGACAGATGCAGTGAAACCCACAATGTAGACCAGCTCTTAAGCACTGTGTTCGCACATCTTTGTGTCAGAATGTTCATGAGGAATATGAAATGCATGCATGATGATGATGATGATGATAGTATTAATAATAATAAAGTGACAATATTATGATTGTTTTACTTTTTCCCAATCTGATTAGGCAAAATCCAAGACATGAATTGCACCATGTTTTTTAGTGGAAAGAGGGAGTAACATTGAAAGCTCATTTGTTTGTGCATCCCCTTCCCCATGGTTTCTTTATTCTGAAGGAAGCTGACTCACAATTAGAGTCTTGAGTAAAGTTTAGTCTACTGGTATATTGAACCAGAGAAATTTTCTGCAAGAGAATCTCTTCAAAAAACAAAGGTGTCTCATTGAGGACTAAAGGTGTAACTGACCTAATCCATGCAATTTCCAATCATTTCATATGCATGAGAGGAATGCTTGGTGATGTAGCCTGTAGGTATTTCTGCTGCTAATCTGAAGGTTACCCCTTTCTAGCAGTTTGAATCCACCAGCATCTCTGAGGGGGAAAAAGATGAGCAATTTCCTCCAATGCCATTTTTACAGCCACTGAAAAACCCATGGGAGGGTCACGAATGAATTGATTCCAACTTGATGGCAATGACTTTGAGGTTTTTGAGTTTCACATGGCTGTGTAAGATGGAATGACCAATGAAGGGCAAAGGAAACAGATGTGTTTGAATTATGGTATTAGTAAAGAATATTAGGGTGGATGCTATTTGCTGCCACAAAAATGAACAAATATGTTTTGGGAGAAGGATAGCCACAATGTTCCTTTGTCTCACCTTGTTAAGTGCC